AAAAAATTTATACATCACAAAAAATGGTACGTGACCAGAAACGGTTACATCAGTTATTGTTGTTTTATCATCTTTTGTCAAGTTACCAATGTTACATGGACATGCACACATGAATCAGAATCTGATGCATGTCTGGGTGTCTAACTTGGCAAGATGAAGAAACAAGGACCGACTAACACATCCATTGAAAAGTATAGACTATTATAACAGTTCATAATTCTATAAGAAGTGCTGGGAAATTGTGAAGCTGGACGTTCTGAATGTTAAAGAATTTCATGATAGGGGAGCACTGGAAAGAATCCTAAACCACACATTCATCACTTTAATCCCAAAGAAGAAAGGGGCTGTAAAATTGTCTGATTTCAGACCAATCAGCCTTGTTTGCAGCTTGTATAAGGTCCTAGCTAAAATCTTGGCAAACAGAATGACAAAAGTGATGTCAAGTCTGATAGCTGAATCTCAAGGTGCTTTCATAGGGGGGAGACTATTAGTAGATGGGGTGTTTATAGCAAACGAAGTAATAGACTCAAGAAGAAAAAGTGGGCTCGCAGGTTTTTTATGTGAGGTGGATATGGAGAAGGCTTATGATCATGTGAACTGGCACTTCTTGGAGTACATCTTGAAGAGAATGAATTTCGGGGAGAAATGGAGAAATTGGATAAAAGTTTGCTTATTGTCTGCCTCTTTTTCAGTTCTGGTAAGTGGGAGCTCCTGTGGAAGGTTTAAGAGCTCTAGGGGGACTAAGGCAAGGGGACCCTCTATCTCCCCCTTTATTCATTTGTGTGACTGAAGCTCTCTATAAGATGGTAGAGAGAGCATGGATGGGAGGACTATTAGAAGGCTTCACAGTGGGCAGTGGAGAAGAGGAGGAAACACTACTCCAATTTGCAGATGACACCCTTTTCTTCTGTGATGCAGCTTGGGATCAGTTATGGAATGTGAAGGAAATAGTGAGATGGTTTGAGGTGGTAACAGGTCTGCGATTAACATCTTGAAGAGTGAATTGATGGCTGTTGGGGAGGTGACAAACCTGAAGGAGTGGGCAGATGACTGGGGATGTAAAGTGGGGAAACTACTCTCCAAATATTTGGGCATGCCTTTGGGGGAAAACTGCAAATCAAAGGCCATCTGGATTCTGGGAGCCCATACTGGAGAAGGTAAATAGAAAATTAGCATCTTGGAAGACCAAGTACTTGTCCAAAGGAGGAAAAGTCACTCTAATTAAAAGTGTGTTGTCATCCCTTCCTGTATTCTATTTATCTCTATTTCCAATCTCAGCCTAGTGGGCGGCAGTGTTGGAAAAGAGAATGAGAAACTTTTTGTGGAGAGGATGGAAGGAGGAATCAAAATGTCACTTGGTAAACTGGAAGAAAATCTGTATCTCTAAAGAAAATGGGGGCCTAGGGATCAGACCAGTGAGAGATGTCAACACTGCGTTGCTTGGAAAATGGCTATGGAGATTCAATGTGCAGTCAGATAGCTTGTGGAGAAGGATAATTGTGGCTAAATATGGGTCTTCACACCAGAGGGTTCTGTTCTGGAAGGATCTCTGGTGTGAAGAAGGACCTTTAATGACTTTATTTCATGATTTGTTTGAAATAGTCACAAATAAGAATGCTACTGTAGCTGAGTATTTGGAAAGACAGAATGGACACTGCATATGGAACCCCCAATTCAGAAGGAACCTGAACAACTGGGAGGTGCAGTCACTGGTCAGCTTGCTCCAGATTCTATATGATTCAGAAACGTCTGGTCTAGGGGAAGACAAAAGATTGTGGAAGTTAGAGAAGTCAGCTTTTCTGTAAGATCCTTTTTCAAATCTGTAGCAAGGGAGGAGACCACACCATTTCCAAGTGACAGGATTTGGATTGAAGCTGTCCCTTCTAAACTGGCCTTCGTTGTCTGGTCAGCAATGCTGGACAAGATCCTAACAAAGCAGAATCTAGTCAGAAGAGGTCTACAGGTGGCAGATTTGGATTGCCTCTTATGCAATGGTAATGTGGAGTCTTCTGGTCACTTACTGAATCAATGCGAATTTACTCATTGGATCTGGTTAAGGAATAAAGATAGTAGGTGTGTTTGATGTAAAATGGTGCTTCCCAGCTGAAGTGAAGGGTCTCATTGAGGCATGGCATCTAGAAGGTTTAAGTAGAGCTGGAAAGGTAGCATGGAGCATACTTCCTTCAGCAGTGTTATGGGCTGTGTGGAGTGAAAGAAACAGGAGACTGTTTGAAGGGATTCAGGCTTCAAAGGAAGAAATCCCACGTAAAATTCTGGGGATGGCTCATTCTTGGTTGGCAGTTCACCCTTTGTTTAGAAATAGACATCCTAGTTCTTTCTTTGATTCGGATCTTCTTTTTGTAAGGAAAAGTTAGTTGTTTTTTTTGGGTTTTGGGCTGTAGGGAGCAAATTGTATATCCTCTGTTCAGTTTCTCATTGTACAGCGGTTCTTTGTTGGCCTTTTGTTTTAATGAAATACTTTACATTACAGTTCAAAAAAAAACATTATAAACATATAGGTTTGAACTTAATAGCATTTTATAGGAAAAATGGCATTTGTTGGGTTCATTATAAGCAAGGAGAAAAACAAAAATGTCACATAAAAGTGATCTGTGTAGTGTTGGAGTCCAATGCATCTCAGTTCATTTCTCAGTAAGAGTTTGGTCATGATCCCATTTTCTACACTTTTTTTGGCAACTTGGAGAGTTGAAATGATCTAATTTATTTCTGGAAAATTCAAATTGCATGGTTTAGCAATGTTGCAGCTAATATGTTACTATCCATCTATCTTCTAGGCACGCGGACATGCATATTATTCTGATGCTGTTGGTTGGGCTGCGATCAAAACTATTATTGTTAATTGTTTTTCTGAATGTCCTTTGCATTACAATTATCAAAACTATTATTTTGGTTATCATCATCATATGTACTATATTGTGTTTTTCTTCAACTTTTAACTAATGAAACAATTGATGAGAAATAATAGTTTCCCCCTTTGTTATTTATCTTATTATTATTTGCTAGGTAGGTACAACAAGGACTTTGCTTTTTCCTGAAAAGTAGTTCTACCTTAATGGTCTTGCTTCTTGTTACCTCCTGTCTGGATACAAACTCGTAGAAACACAGTTAAATTGAACTGGTAATATACCATAGTTATTATCTTTGATTCTTGCAGTGATCATGTTGAAATTTTCTTGTTCTCACTATGATAACTTATCCATTGAATTTTCCAATGCATATGTAGGCATTTGAAGAAGCAGAACTTCCAAAACTGAAGGAAGAAAAGCCAGGTCTTACTCACACTCAATACAAGGACATGATATGGAAGTTATGGAAGAAATCTCCAGATAATCCTCTTAACCAGGTGAACTTGGACTAATAGATTTAAATCTTCGTGATTATTAATTATGTTCCATTGTATTCCTCTTATGTTGTTCGACACTTTGACCATGCAACTCTTGTGTCGGGCTATATGATATTTTCTCCCTTGGTTACTAATACAAAATATTTTTGTTTATTTATTATTATTATTTTTTTTTTTGGGGGGGGGGGGAGGTGGATTTTCTACCGCTCAAGTGTTGCCTTGTTTGCAATTGCCTAGGTGAACTAGCAAAATGACATAAGTGACTGCCTGGGAACCATTGCCTGCCTAGTGCATTACCTATGTAGTGGGGCCTTAAAAAAGCCTAGTTGGTTGCCTAGGCAATGATTTGATAATAAAATGTTGTAGGATGTATAAGTATTCTGGTCTTTTCAGCTTTTAGGTTCAGATTTTGGAGGAGAAAGTTTTGTATTGGACCAGGGTTTTAGAGGTCCTTAGTAATTATGAACCATAGTTCTCAAGGCACCAAGGCGAACCTAGGTGGCACAGGACCGCTTAGTCACCTAGTTGCTTAGGCACCCACCTAGTGTCTCAGAAGTAATCTTGCTTTTCCTAGTGTTTCAAGGTTTGTGTCTTAGAAATAACCCTTCTCTTTCTAATGCTTTTCAAGGCTAGTGTCTCAGAAATAAGAAAGAGAAAAGGGTGGAGCCCCTGTTTTTGTCTCAGAAAAGAGAAAGAAAAAACCCTAAAAAATGATGAAGGAGAACATGTTCTTGTCTGGAAAAAAAAGAGTGCAAGAAAAAACCTTGAAATGATGATGGGGCAGAACCCCTGTTCTTGTTTCAGTAAAAGGAAAAGGAAAAAAATCAAATGAAGGAGAAGAAGGTGCATAGCCTCTGCTTTTGTTCAAAAACGGAAGGAAAAGATTCAGAGATTTAAGAAGCAGAAAGGGTTATTTCCTATCTCATAAAAGAAGGTGCCGCTCTCTATTTAAGAAGAAGCTAACAAATACAAGTTGGTTTATGAAATAATAAAAAGGAGGTTACAACGTGTCACTGCCTATTTTGATATTATGAGCTCAAAGTATAAAAATATAAGAATATTGTAAAATAATGTAAAGTATGATATAAAAGCTGCTTGGTGTCTGGGCTAGGCGAGCAATAAATCCTCCTCTATCTCTTTTGTACTTTTTGACTAACTGTAGGAGGGGTCAGCAGTTGTATCCTTGATGTTTTGTGGAGCTTCCTTTCTTTGACCATAAAAAAGAGTAGTAGAAAATTAGATTGAAAACATAAACTTATATTTCTTTGCAACATCTTAAGGATATTAACCTTGAAGCTCTATACATAGTAGGGAAAGAATATCTGCACAAAAGTTATATACATTACTAATCATATTATGGAGTTTGAGATACTGCCAACCTAGTTCAAAGGAGAAATAAGAGGTTTTCCTCAGAGTTATATCACTGCACCTACAGTAAAACATGCAGTGAATTCCATGTAGAGGTTCCTGCATTCTATTTAAAATGAGGCATAGTTTTGTCAGCTGATAAACCAGTAGTGGTTGTCCACAGGATATTAAAGATAGGATTATATTTTTCCAAGGTCCAACCAATAACCTTATTGTGCCTTAAGGCACGCAAAGAACCTTGGGACCTTACACCCAACAGATCTGAGTAAAGGTCTCCAATGTCAAAGTTAAAGCTGATTAGTTTCACTAAACCTGTATGCTTTGTACCTTAGGTTAAATCTTAGGGATCAGGACACAACCAGTAAGTGGGTTCGGTGTCCTCATAATTTGCCTAGTGTCCAACTCCCACCATCTACTGTATATTCTGAACAGGGACAAAGTTAATTCCAAGTAAAAAAGTAGGTCCCCATCCCCTCAAGCCTCCAATTCAGATGATCAGAAACATGTCTGGTTATACCAGCTTTTGACCTGACTGATGCTATCCCAATTCTTGAAACATACACATGTGGCAATTCATAGAATCCCTGGGCCTATTGTTCCAGTGTCCCAAGATGCTCCCTATATCTTATTGCTTTTGGCAATCAGAGAAAAATTGTGGTTTGCAGGAAGATAGGATGATGATATCATCTTTTCTTTTTTATTTCATCTTTCGTTTCTTTGGGGTGTATTCAATATTTCATCTCTAAGATCCTGAGTGGATTTAGGTGGTGTTTGTTATAATGATGTTGCACAGCTGTTTTTCTGCCATGTAAACATCAAATATGCGTTTTGATTTTTATCAAACCTAATACTTATAAAAATTATCAAACCATAATCTTCTTTGGTTTTCTTTGGTTGGGTGGTTGGTGTTTGGTATTGTGGTGTAGTGGAGCTGTTTCGCCACCACGTAAGCATCACATAGGGGCATTGGCTTTACCAAATCATAATCCTCTTTGGTTGGGCTAATTCAAGTACAGCTATTTGTACTGCTCTTTATCAGGGGTTATGTGAATGCTACCTTTGTAGGAAACACCAATTGGATTTTTTTTTGCTTCAGGGTAGACATTTTTTTGTGTGGCACTTATGTCAGTTGTGTACTAAGCAGCAATAAAAACAATTGTGACATTGTACTCTGCCCAAACCTTGGTTTTTCCTGATTACCAATGCTTAAAATCAAGTACAAATGCAATGCTTCCACAATGCAACGATAACAAGCACCCTCTGAATAGTCATCATTGAGGCCCTTTTAACCTTGTGTGTGTGGAAAATGAAAGTGCAAAATGGAACTAGAGGTAGCTTGGCACCTTGCATCATCAAACAAGGTCGTTAGGAGTCTGTGTGGTTACTAATGACTACTGTTGTCCTCCCAAACCATATTGAACTAAATATCCTAGGTTTAAAAGGATGTAAGATTTTGGTTAGCTTCCCTATAGGTGGTGTGCTTCGTCAGAAGGTTATTATTTGTGAACTTCAATGACTGTCGTCCTTAGACCCAAAGCATTTGGTCAGCAATTCTTAACTGCGATATAGATGCGCTATGTTGCAGTTCTACATAGGATTGTGGCTTTAGTATAGAATACCTGAATATAGTTTTTAATTTTTTTACATGGACCTACAGTATTTAGCGAGTAATAATGTGTTCTATCAATAAATAGTACAATCCACAGTTTTAGCCATCGAGAGAGAACGTTTACTATCCACCTCACCATAATCCTTTTCGAAATGGCTTTTTCACCATAGTAATTAGTATGACGTATTTTTCTGTATAATATGTTATAACATTTTCTCAAACTCACTGACTGATTGGCATGTGCAGGTTAAGGATTGATCCGGTTGCACCCCCCTCGCCCAGTAAGGGTTGCTATTTTCTCCGGTAACTGTACCATTTCTAAATGTCAATTCTTCGAACCTGTTGAGGCATACTGTGGATTTTTGGATCCTGGGTTGTACGAGCCTGCAGCGTTCGTGCCCACTAGAACCTAGAGTAATGCTTTATTTTCTTTCGTCATTGGTTTATTGTGGCCCCATTCTATTCAGACCTGCGATTCATTCATCTATGTTGGCAATAAACTGTTGTTAATGGTGTATATACATAATGACGAGAGCACAAAAAAATGAGTATTAAAAGTTGAAACAGAGATGGTCTTATGTTCTTTGTTAATTGGATTTGGAGTAAAAGTTGGTATTTAACTTTGTTCTAAAAGAATGATAATACAAATGCGAGCTTTTTGCAGACACCACAGAATGACAGAATAGATGGGTTTCCTTTGGTTCTACTGTCATTCTTTCTCATTCTTGCCCAAGATGAAATTCTAAGGCCTCCTTCGCTTTTCGGCAAGTTATTTACCCGGTTAAATGCAGTTACCTGAGTAAGTCTTTCCTGGGAAACACTTACCCGGGTAAGTGTATTTATTCATGTTATTTTATTTCTCATGTAAATAAGGCAATGACCATTTTAGCCATAAAAATCTATTATTAAAAAGGGTATTTTTGTTCCATTCAAGTGTTGGCAACTTTTCCCTAGGTGGGAAAGTTATTTATCCACCTAGGAGATAGATATACTCAGGAAAATAAACTTACCCTGGTCCCCACATAAATCTGAAAAAAGAATGTAGGATTCTTGGTCAATGGGATTTGGAAATCAAAATCCCATTGACCAACTTTCCCCCCTCTCAAAATCCAAAAAAAGAACACCCCTTAAAATGGACAAGAATGGTAAAAATAGGTAAAATGAGAAAATATTGCTATGAACCTAAAAATGAATTCTTTTCAAATTGACAAGTGCCTTGCTTTGCTCATTTTCTATCTTAAAAGAAAAAATTTGTGTTAGCAGTCATAAACCACCAGCCTAGGCCTCCAAAATCATCAGCATAGATGTTTATCGGTAGGGCCATCAATTGGATTGATTTGGTCCAATCCAATATTGGTCTATTTATAAATGGACAGGACCAAATCCATACAAACCAAGTCCAATCTAGTCTAAATAAAATGCAAATTGACTGGATTTTGTCCAATCCAATCCAAATTGAATCAAGCACCAAAATAACACTAGAAATCCAGAAATATATATAAAAAAACTACAACACTTGCTACAGTCCAATTAAAATGCAAATGAACTGAATTGGGTCCAATTCAATCCAAAGTGAATGAATAAAAGAACTTTTGTAAGAGTACTTTGACTAAGTGTTTTTGTAAAAGTGCTTTCATAAAAGTGATTTTATAAAAGTATTTTTCATAGAAGTGCTTGTGTAAAAGTACTTTTATAAAAGTGCTCTCATAAAATACTTTTGTAAAAGTACTTTGCATAAAATTACTGTTATAAAAGTGCATTTGTGTAAA